GGCGGGACTTAGCTCATTTGCATAATTGGGGGAGGTGTGACCTGTCACTTTTGTATGCATACTAATGAGACGAAAGCGGGATCATTATTACTACTTTCACTGTTTTCAAAAATACTGTGGCTTGTATATAAGTAAGGCTAATTGTTTTGTCTCGCATCGAAAATCTAGAAGCAAAATCAGCATCAACTTTCAGAACATATTATTTCTCCAACGAAAACATTGTTTTAAGTTCCTCGGAAATATTTCTAGCAGCCACAAGTCATGCGGTGAAGATTAAGGCTTTGGAATGTTCTTCTCTGTAATCCTCTGGCTAGTCAGGCTGCCTCGTGTATTCACACTTCTCTTCTCTGCCTGGGAAAATCTGCCTGAGCACCAACTAATTTCACTATGACTGGATTAATCAAACTTGGAGATATTGGCAGAAAAAACGAAGACTTCGCCTGAATAACTTGGATGCATAAAGTATATAATGGTTGTCTCTATTCTATGGATCTAGCAAATGGCGGTGGTTGTTAAGCTTGTAAATAATTAAACTAGCACTGTCACCCAGGTGTCAAACAGCATACATACTTCCATTGGTTTGTAATGCAACTTTCACTAATTGTCCATCAAGCATTCCACTCAATTCAAAACAGAACACATGTTGATTCATTAGAACAAGTAATCCACTCACATTCACAAAACATATTTAAGACAGAACACACAGACACGAGTGACGATACTGAACTCACCCTGGTTCAGTGTGTGGGTGTCATCCACCGCTGCGACCAATAGCTGACCGTCCTTTTCTTCAAAAGTGTGACATGCAATGACCTCACTATTGAATGGATTTTTTCTTTGCTTCAACAAAAGAAAATTAATACATATAACATCTGCAAATCACGGAAATGTGGAAGCACATGCTGTTTTTTAAATGTTGGACTTTCTTTAGTCAGAATCCTACCTTTGTGGGTGACTGTAAAAGTGATCTAGGTGTTTCAAATGACTTCTGGTTCTCACATCTATAAAATAGAACATGATAATAAGAGCTGTGGACAATTGACTTCAAACTTCAGGCTTTTAAAAGCAAATGATTTCATCTTGGATTGGAAAATGTGCATGCTCATGTTAGTAATTAAATAACAATCTCTTAACAATGCCTGTTTTTTTTAGCAGTGTACTTACCAGCTGAAACAACAATACTTCTCCTCATACAGGATACTGTTGATACAGTTATATACATAAATAAATGTATATATATAGATATATACATAGTTGCTATCAAGAACAGGCAGGTACATTCTCACATGTAAAGTTACTGTGGAATGAGTACATGATATGTGTAAACGCTCCTCAGAAGCAGTGGAAAACATGAACATGTGAGACCTGACCTTCTAAGAAGATTATGGGGCCAATTACAAAGTATCCATTTAGTGTGTGAACAACTCCTCACTAGCAAATGACCCAAATAATCTACTGCTGAAGCATGTGATGGTGCTCACAACAGAATACACACCGTATGTTCTGTTTTTACTTTGTTGAGTTTTCTTCACAGTTTTATTGAAAGCTGCAGGAGGCATACATTGAGTGAATCGCCATTTCAAATCCCTCTGTTATTCTGCTCCTTGTCTGCTAAACATATTCTATCTTTCTCATTCAAAACAAATCCAATGACCAGAGTCAAATGGATTCTACTGACCAGTATTGTGTGCATATCCAGTTCCTAATGGAGCTGTGCCAATGATGAACTTCTTTAAGGACTTAAAAGGAAAACTGAAACTACGTATTTGTGAGATGTTTTTCAAAACCTTAACACATAAACATGATAAAGTAAACTTATATCATTAAAAAGTAGAACAACCTGTCTACAGAGTGCTGCTGGAGTGGTGAAGGGGTTTAACTGAGAGGGTCCCACACTCACCTGTCACTGCTGGGCTGCATGGGGGGCTCCTGGAGGAGCCCACAGAGCACAGGGGGGACGAGTTCCACTGCAGCACACAACACACAGATAGTTACGTATTCATAGTAACTCATGCTATGATTACCAAATAGATGTATGTGAAAACAACCCAGACCTAATGATAAGTCTCCATGATCACATCCCAGCTAGCCTCTATAGAGGTGCTTTATGTAGAATATGGCCCAGATTTGATCCAAAAACATTTAAAAGAATGAATTAACATTGTCATCATATTGTGAGCTGACATTATGTCAGAGACACCTATGTATTATGTTGCAGCGATATCTACTGAAAGAGCATGCTAACAGCTAGCTCAGAGTGCTGTCTTCCTGGAGAGGAGAGTCGGCCCTCAGTCCAACATGAGAGGCCCGTGAAGCAGAGCTCAGAGGTACAGGGTCTGGACTGCTCGGAGGTACAGGGTCTGGACTGCTCGGAGGTACAGGGTCTGGACTGCTCAGAGGTACAGGGTCTGGACTGCTCAGAGGTGCAGGGTCTGGACTGCTCAGAGGTACAGGGTCTGGACTGCTCAGAGGTACAGGGTCTGGATTGCTCTGAAGTATCAGCTGAGTTTATATCCTGTTTAGCAGCAATCAGGGTGAGGCGAGGGTATAAGAGTTTTTATAATAGCGTACGAGACCATAGCTATGGTGACTCCATGAGACTAAAATGTTCATTACACCAGAATACTACACATGATGAGATCCTTATGACCTGAAAGGCCTAATGTTAATCACCCAACACTCTGATGAGCATGTCACTGTTTGTTTTGCTTAAGATTTTGAGAGATGGTTTCTGGTGTTCTCTTCTTCATGCACTTCTTTACACAGAGGCCAGATGTTTCTTACTTCACAAGCACACTTGCATTTTTAGGAATTACACTAATGTTACAATATTTACACGATAGAACAGCCATGCAGGATAAAGAACACTCACATATAGTCAGCGACCTATGTGAGTGTCTCATGGAGGCCCTGATGATCTCGGAGCCGTGGATGCGGTCCTGGTGACGGAGCTGCTTGATCTCGTAGAACCATTCTCCAGTCATGTACCTCAGCTGGCCTCTATCATTCACCATCTTCTGGAGGTTCCTGAGGGCAGACATATCCATTTTAAGTCACTACTTCATTATTTAGAGCTTTTATTTCAAATTGTAGTATAAGAAACTGAAGCATTGCATACATTTTGTGCAAAGAATCTAAAGATCATGTCTGTGCGCTGCAAGCAACATTTTAACTGCACCTGCATCTTTAGGTAGCCAATTTACAGTATACTGTTCAACTAAAGTTCTGTAAGATTCAGATGATATCATTTCTACTCATCCTGGCTGTGACAGATCAAACTGACAGAGCGAGAGATTAGTTTGTACCCAGAACCTGTGACTCAGAGACTTACAGCACTCGCTGCTCCTCAGCCTTCTTCAGCTCCGTGTCTCTTCTCAGCACAGCCAGGATGGCGTCCTGCTCCTCCTCCGTCAGGAAGCTCAGGTCGATCATGGTGCTGCTCTCAGTGTGAGTCTAGAGGTGGATCAGGATCACCGCTCGTACGGTTCTTCATGAAGTCCTGATCTTTACTGAATCAAGTCAGTGTCACAGTGATTAGTGCTTAAAACATAGTATACATGTATGTATTGAGAGGCCCTCCTTAGTGCTTTTGTTTTCCTTAACCCAGGTTTTCCTCTGCAGCATGTTCTGTATTTGGTTCTGTTTTCTATATGCAGTTTTTATTCTTTGGTTAAGTTGTACAGATATCATTTAAGTTGGTTTTGTCGGTATCCATGTGCTTCTTTAACTGTCGGTGTGTCAAAGATAATAATGTTTGATCCACAGAAAGAAAACATGTATCATATCCTATGAGAGTGCAGAGCAGCAGGTTATGGCTTGATGCTGCAGCTACTTTCACTCAAACACAAAGATTGTGTGTGCTCTGTCTCTCACTGACCCCCCCTGCCTCTCACTGACCCCCTCTGTCTCTCACTGACCCCCCCTGTCTCTCACTGACCCTCCTATCAGACACTACCATCACCTACTGTCTATCAGAGTGTCAGGGTTATAATACATACACATTTGATTACATAATGAGAAATAACTGCATTGATCTTTAAGTTTCTTAACTGTAGTCATGCCAACAGAAAAACAAAATCTCTTTTTTCATAATGATTTAGACTTTTAAAAAAAACCTTTACAAAGCTGCTGCTTTTCTTTCAGGAGCAGATCAGATGTGTCTGAGGAATGCCCACACACCACCAGAGAGCTCTGAGGACATCTGATGGGAACTCGAGTGGAGGTTTATGTTGATAACCTGCACACTATTTGCTAAATACTCTCTTTGCTGAGTGAACATTTGTTCTTGTTCATTTGCTCTAACGACAATGGTAGTTATGTTATTGTGACTTGGTTTTAGAAAAGGCCATGTTGTGGTTGGCTCACATTGTTCATTCTTGATCCGAGTTAGGAACGTTGTAATCGCCTCCTCTTCTCCATTACAAGGCTGCGTGAGGACTGCGCTGTAAGGAGGCTTGAATAAAAAGCTCTTTTCCTGTGAGCTCATGCAGGTTTATGTGGGTGTTCTTCATTTTAAAAGAAGAATGTTGCAGGTCCTGTTTCTCCAAAATTCTATCTAGAAGACAGAGAATATATTTCCTTGTTGTTGTTTGATTTATTCCTCCATAACTTCCTTTAAGAAAACAAGATTTAACAAGCTAAAGTATTGCAAGTGCATTTGCTGAAAAGACTCAAAGCTGGACTGGTGTCACAAGCCTTACTTCTACCATCTACACTGACTGAACACTGAGTCCAATCCAACTGTTGAAAAGCAAAGACTAACAGCAGGGGACTGTGCAGCTGTATGACATGCACTTATTAATGTAAATATGGGTTAAAAGTAATGTAACTATGTTTTAAGCACTCCCTAATATGGGCAAAAGAAAATGCTCTTGTAGATCTTTTATAGTGCATTTTATATCCTTTAATCTAACTTCATAATCTAAAAAGAGAGCTGCAATTCATATCATGTAGAGTTAATGTGACCTAAAATAGGATTGTACATCCACACACTGGTCATCTAACAGCATGTTTCTCTGCAACGGATATGACTTTGATTGGAAGTTTAAAAGGCGGTCATGGATTTTCAATTATTGCTATCAAACATATATTTTCTGGTGGATTAAGAACTATGAAGAAGTAGAGTTTCGTAATAAAAAATCTACACCATATTCCTATGAGGAATTTTAAAATGACTAAGCAGAGTGGGTCATAATATGTTAGTGATTTAGGGATCTGCTACCAGATGACAATAACAAACGTAGAGATCTCCAGAGAGAAGTGCACTGAGCATCTGGACTGGATCTCACTTTGCATTACATTTTTATAAATATTTGCAGTAAGAGTGAAGGAACAACAACACACAGAGCAGAGTGGATTCATCGTTCACTAAAAGACAGAAAGCAGTCAGCTCACCTCTGATAGGGCTCCTCGCTGCCGGAGAGCTCTCCTGAGACTGACCCTGAGGAGCTGCAGGGGGAGCAGCAGGGTGGGGGGTGCAGCAGGGGGAGGAGCAGCACCTTCCGCAGCCTGCATGTTCACTGAAGACACACACTACTCTACAGTGCTGTTATTTCACCTGTTGGTAAGGCAGGGCAAGTTTATTTATATAGCACCTTTCAACACAAAGCAATTCAAAGTGCTTTACAAAAATGAAAGACATTAAGAGCATTATGAAATAGTGCAGCGGAAACACATTTTAAAACAGCATTTAAAAGCAGTCATTAAATAGCTGAAATGCAATGTTGAAACTGATAAACTTTAGTTTTTTTGGAAAATATTCACTCATTTTTTTACATTCCAAAAAGGCTGCCTCGGACAGGGGCATGTTACCAGTGTGTCGCATCACCTTCCCTCTGTTGTCGTATTTT